GTGTATATTAAATATTTAATAATTCACTTTTTGCAAATTTAAACTTTAGAAATAAATTAAATTGTTTAAAATTATTATATATATTAAATTTTTTAAAATTATTTTTTATACCGCACGTCAGCTACTTCTTGGTCTAAGTTTGAAAATCTCACGTTGCACAAGAAAAATACCCAAGAGTTTGATATTTTCGTATTTGCACTGCACTGTTTAGTGTCCAAGAAAACAAAAGAAAAGAGACCTTCTTCTTGGTGCACGCACTTTTTATATCGTCAACGATCAACGGTGTCATCTGTTAATGCGTTAAAGCTTAATGACCGTTGATCGTTCCCTCTGCAATGCACTAAGCGCAAGTCCAGCTTTACGGTAAATTTAGTTTATCACTCATGTGGAAGCTGGACGTTGTTCTTGCTTAAGCTTTGGTCTAGTTCCACATATTTGCGCAAAAGCTTTCACATTTCTTCTCTTGTTTTGTTTTATTTTGAGTTCATTAATTGAATAACAGTATTATTTTATTACACGTCCAGAAAACGAAATATGAAAATGTTAAAAGAACGATAACTCACGCTATGTGTAGCACTCTTTTATTCAAATATAATTGTTTGCGCATTAACCAATAATTTTCAAGTTAATTACCAGGATTTTTCAAGTGTTAAAGTGGACTTCGATGAATTGGTTGAATTAGTGTTTTTAATATTACTTAACAACTTTTATTCGTACAGCATTTTGTTTTTCAAGTGAGTTTGTTGTGTTTGTTATAAGTTAACTTTGTTAGATAAAGTTGTGTGTTAGTGAGTTAGTTTGTTTTCTCTTTTGTTTTTATATTTGCTTGCATATTTTGTGTTGCGTATTCAATATTGAACATAGTCCCAAAGTAAATGTGATTTCATTTGCGTGCTTTATAAGTAGCGCGGTACAGAATATTTTAAGACGGAGATGTTTTCTCTATTTTAATTCGAAGTAATGTTGAGTGTAACTAACCCATGTTTGATTTTGTACGTTTTTGTATTTATGTTACATCTGTTTGGAAAAGGTATTATAAAAAATGGTATGTAGCAACATTTTGGAATAGAGATTAATATGTATATTAATAAATGTCCAAAAGGGAATCTTTGTTAAGCTGTTCAGTGAACACTCTGAACATTCAACGCCTCGCCTCTGCTTGGCATAACATTGGACGCAAAACTTTGATGCAAGGAACACATAAAAAAGAAACGAGATGAGCTTGACATGAAGTTGCGAAAAATGGAATGGCTAATCGGCCACAAATCCATACTATCTCTGCAAAACAAGATTTTAAATGACAATAAATTTTTTGATCATTTTTGTCTGTCGACCAGTTTTATCAGTTTCGATCCTTCGACATGGATGAAGAGACAAGATTATAAAGATGAACTTTGTTCCATACTTGATTATGCAAAAAGAGGAGTTAGATTTCTGATGAATTATAATTCAATTTTGACAAAAAATAAAGAGTAAAACTAATATGTGCTGCAATTTGTCGAACATTATTATAAGAATTATTCTTCACATAACAAGTCAGATTTAAGTTATAAAACATAATAAATGCAATATATTGTAATGTGATATGGGTATGAGACCTCACATATCACACAACGTATAAGTGGTCCAGATAATTTTAATGTAAATATTGACACAGTTCTATTTTTAATAAAAATTGACAATAAATTATATCCAAGTAATATGAGCCTTTATTTTGTCATTGCTTTGATGACAAATAACTGAGCCGCACATTGCACCATATGTGCAATATGCATAAGTCGAAACTGTGTCAATAAAATAAACGGTTTCAAGTGAAACCATATGTAGAACACCTGCGTTGTTAGCTATCACATCATTTATTGATAAGCTATTTCTTTTAAGATACTACATACGTCTAATTTGGGTTAACCAATTAGACGCAAGTAATTTAAGTACATATTAACCAACAGAATCAGTACATAAGATTTTATAGAAAACTAGTATTAAGATGTAAGAAATTCAAAGAAATAAAAATCAGTCTAGAAATGACTAGTAAAAGTTAAAGTTGTTTGATTATGTGACAAAAGATCAATCTTTACATTGCAAGGCAATTCTGCCTTTGTAAAACACTAAAACATAAAACTTATCAACTCGTGTTCGTGTTCTCAATGAACAGGGTATGGTCATATGCAAAACATCAGCCTATGCCTTACCAAGACTATGGTGCTTGGTACTTTATCACACCCTTCCCGAGGTGAATCTGTTTGTTGTTGATAACTTTATTGACATAACAGAATACTATGGATCTAGAAAGGAACACTCGATAAAACCCGTAATCTCCGGTGTTATTCGATCCGTGTCGATGAGATGAATGGCACTACATTAGTGTGTCCCTGAACGGAGACCTCCGGATAATTGGCGCTATAACTTCCGGGTATAGCGGATCTCTGCCCGGATCGACTTTCCTTTCTCCGCAACTCGTGGGTTTAAAATATGAACCAGAATAATAAAAATACTATACAAAAATCAAGCTCGGTTAAACCAAGTTCTTCTGGAACTGCTAGTTCCAAGATACCTACCGCAACTTTTAGCGGTAATAACAGGGTACATTCTAATAAATCAAAAATCTCCACGAGTTCTGGTCCCTCTGTGAGGTCGGGTCCTCCATCTAGGAGAATGTACAAAGAACGGCGAGCGGTGCTTAGACTGCTCAAGAAATATTGTAATGTTTCGGTTACGT